GCTAACTGCTGGAGGAGGGAGCAATGTGTGTGCCAGGGGATGAGTTCAAAGGTGTCAGGAGGGATCCCAGATAATGTGTAGGGCTTTTTTTTTCTTTTTTAGACCTTAATTGAGGACACGGATCAGTTGTGGCACAATCACTGTCTCCGAGACTTCAAGAATGACAAGCCCCAGGAGTTTGAGTCGTGGCGGGAGATGTACCTCCGGCTGCACGACGCACGAGAGCAGCGGCTGCTCATGTTGGCGCGGAACATCGGCTCGGCTCATGCCAACAAACCCAAAGGTAACGGGATGGATGATGCTGGGGGAAGTCTTTGCATTGGGCAAAAGATGTAGAGGGTCTTTCTGGGCAGCTGGTTTGAATCCCATCCAACTTAGGCATTGCTTAAACCTCTGTTCTTTATGTAGCAGCCTTTGCAAATGAATTATCAGACTCTAGATCTCATTTGAGGTGTTGTCCATGCAGAACAGACAGTGAAATATTTATTCCTTTATAGTAAGCTGCATCTAAGCAGTAGTTATCTCTTCCCACCTGTAGGCAGAGTGGCCAAGATGGCATTTGTGAACTCTGCAGCGAAGCCCCCTCGGGATGTACGGCGAAGACAGGAGAAGTTTGGAACGGGAGGACCTCTTCTGCCAGAGAAGACCAAGTGAGTGTTTACCAGTGGTGCTTGCTGTTCAGGGTACATTTTCTGGGGGCTCCTGCCAGGTTCCCTCTGAACCTCCATATCCTAAGTCTCACTGGAGAAAAAATGATGCCTCTAGGAGGGCCTTTTGCAGTGAAACCTGCGCCTCTGTTAGCCTTTTTCTTGCTAGGAAGTTTGTGGAGGTCCTCGTTAGTGCTGGTTCCATTTGATCTTAGCCATGCTGCCATTAACAAGTGTGACTCGTGTCTGCAGAACTGTATCAAGACACTCTGAATCCTTTAACAAATTGTGTGTCCCATCCTTGTGTTTCAGAATAAAACCAGTCCTCTACACATCCAGCAAAAGCCATTCTCGTGTAAGTGAGGAGCAGTCCTACGACGGGCCCAGCACCAGCAGTGCCCATTCTGTCCCCTCATCAGGTAGCACCTTCTCCTCCTACGACCCCAGGAAACCGCCAGTGAAGAGTGAGTACAAACGGCAGGATCTCTGTGGGGGGTCTCCTCTAGTTCCCCCTTCACAAATGCATGAATCTGCTCTGAGTTCTGGCAAGATTAGACCCAGGCTATGCAGGAGGGTGATGCTGGTCTCTCTTCTCTCCCTGCAGAGAGGTGGTAAAGTCTGTTCAAGTTTCTTGCATGGGGGAAAAAATAGAGGGAAAAGTTTTGAAGTGCAGGGCCACAATGTGGAGGGGGGGGCGGTGCCAGAGAAGACCAAGTGAGTATTTACCAGTGGTGCTTGCTGTTCAGGGTACATTTTCTGGGGGCTCCTGCCAGGTTCCCTCTGAACCTCCATATCCTAAGTCTCACTGGAGAAAAAATGATGCCTCTAGGAGGGCCTTTTGCAGTGAAACCTGCGCCTCTGTTAGCCTTTTTCTTGCTAGGAAGTTTGTGGAGGTCCTCGTTAGTGCTGGTTCCATTTGATCTTAGCCATGCTGCCATTAACAAGTGTGACTCGTGTCTGCAGAACTGTATCAAGACACTCTGAATCCTTTAACAAATTGTGTGTCCCATCCTTGTGTTTCAGAATAAAACCAGTCCTCTACACATCCAGCAAAAGCCATTCTCGTGTAAGTGAGGAGCAGTCCTACGACGGGCCCAGCACCAGCAGTGCCCATTCTGTCCCCTCATCAGGTAGCACCTTCTCCTCCTACGACCCCAGGAAACCGCCAGTGAAGAGTGAGTACAAACGGCAGGATCTCTGTGGGGGGTCTCCTCTAGTTCCCCCTTCACAAATGCATGAATCTGCTCTGAGTTCTGGCAAGATTAGACCCAGGCTATGCAGGAGGGTGATGCTGGTCTCTCTTCTCTCCCTGCAGAGAGGTGGTAAAGTCTGTTCAAGTTTCTTGCATGGGGAAAAAAATAGAGGGAAAAGTTTTGAAGTGCAGGGCCACAATGTGGAGGGGGGGGCGGTTTGCTCTCTGGCTCTGTACAGGTGCTGAGAGCACCCAAGGAACCTGCTTTGTTGCTGTGTGTTCTCTCTGCCTGAGCCTCCAGAGCCCTGGCATGTCCCTTGCATCTCCTCAACCAGAGCTGCACCTCCCCATCGCGTTCTGCTCTCCTGGCTGCCACTTGAAACTTTTTCCTCTTGTTACAGAAATTGCACCCATGATGGCAAAGACTATCAAAGCTTTCAAGAACAGGTTCTCTCGAAGATAAGCTTGCAGCACAGAGCTGGGAATTTCCCCCGTCCGGGGGGAGTGGCACTGAAGGGGGAGAAGGTACCCAAATGGCCCAGGTCCTTTCCTTGGAAGAGGCTGCAGCTGCTGGGAGAGGTTCAATCTGCACACGACGACAGCACAGTATTTTATCTCTTATTCTGGTCCTTTTATCTGTGTCAAGCCCTCTCCTCCCTCCCTTTCATATTTAAAATCCTGTTTCTGGCCTTGTCTTCTGTCAAAAGAAGGGTGTACAGAATCTCCAGACATGAGAAAATGTGAAGTCTTAGCACCTGCTGAGAGCAGAAGATTCAGAGACTGTTTACTATTTAACCTCTTAATAAATTATAAAATGGTTTTAATTAATATTCCCCCCCGCCCCAACTGGTACTATTTATGTTGCTCCCAGTGTTCTCCCACCCCAGTACAGAGCCTTCGCTGTGACTTTAGCTGGCAGGAGGTCGTGTGTCTGGGCGGACCCTGCTTGTTAAGGGAGTCTTTCCTTGTGATCCGGTACCTGCAGGGCCCAAAGTGGCCCCTGGGCTCCCCGGGAGGGGTGGTGCTGGTGACCTCTGCTCATCGGTCCCCTGGCAAGTGCCTCAAGTCCTGAGGCTTTGCCCTCTTCTCACGTGTGATTAAAAATCTTGGCTCTTGACCTTCTCTCGGCTGATACTGTAGATCTTGTACAGATGCTTGGGTTGTGCAGGGATGCCAAGGGCCTTTGGGGACTTTGCTGCTGTTGTCTTCTGCTGGCTACTGGGAGTAAAGCCTGGAGGGTTTCTGGGGAGAAGATTTTACTGTGCTCCAATGAACATTTTAAGTCTTTTTTGTTTTCTTTCATTTTTTTTTGAAGGAGGGGACTTAGTTTTTGTCTGCCTCCAAACCTGCAAACACTTTTTAAGTATCAATGAGGATACCAGTTTGACTTTTAGTGGAAAGAAGGAATACTTTTATCTTGTTTTCTGCATGGAATTGGGAAGGATTTCTTTCTGGTTTGGAAGCTGGTACTTGAATCCTGTCCTTTCTCTCTGCCCCCTCTTTGGAAGAAGCAAGAATTCTCATCTTTGAGCTTGAAACCACTCGATTCGGGGTGCAGGGAAGCGAATAATGGAACACTTTGTTTTTAATGTGCGCATACTTCATATCAGAAGTTCAAAACACTTGTTTGTACTTGGTGGCAGAGGAACTGGAGCTCTGGAAGGGCGGTGAGAAGCGTTTCTGCTTCAAACCTACCTTTCAAGTGAACTTCTCTGGAGGCAGCGCAAGTGCAGACTGGAACGTGCTGGACCCAGGTCAGGCCTCTGTGATGGCTCCGACCTCCAACTGCATCAGGAAGAGGGAGGAAGTCCCCGTTCCAAGCCCTATTTGCTCTCCTAGGGCTTGGTTGTCTGGATAGAAAAGGTGCTGGTAGCAGATGCTGTTCTCGGTGGCAGCTCTTAAAGCTCTGCCCGGGGCTTTCCATGGTGGAAAATGCTGAATGAGTGGAGTTGTCTCTGTGCTGATCGGGGAAACTTCCCCAGAGGGCTTTAGAAAATGCCCTACATGCTTTTGGTTTCGTTTTTCATTTTTCTTTTTTTTTCCTCTTAAGCCATCCCAAATGCCTGTGTCTTGTTTAATTGGTCTGTTTGCTTCTTATTTTGAAGGTCTTGGAGAAGCGTTCTCACTCTTGTGCTGTAAGTTCATTACAGTCCCAGATGCTTTAATGTTACCGTGCAGCATTTCAGTGTGTGTTGTGCTGTAAAATACTGGCTCCGTACTCTTGCATTTTGCTGTATTTAATTTTGCTGTATTTTTAATTAGATTACAATATATTATCTTCTGCTGACCCTTGTGCTACCATTTCTTTCTCCCTTGCTCTTGGGGTAGGGGCAGAGGGAAGGGAGGTCGGTCTTGCATTGCACTCATGCCCCAGTGGAGCAAAGGACCTGGATGAAGCCCAAGCCCAATCTTGGGCACTACTAACTTGCCGCTTAATTAATTCAACAGTTCAATACTCAGATGGGGGCACTGCCCCAAGCACTGCAGTTTTGGGGGTACCTTCCCCCTCAAGTAGCCTCTTTGCTTGAGGCTTTGCTGCCTGTGTCAGTATTTTGGCTTAGCTGGATCCCGGCAGGGGATGCGGAGAGGATGGGACATGACAGTCTCTGCATTAACTGCACTCGGTGAGCGATGCCAGTGTCTCCCTCTGCTTTCCCTCTTCCTGCTGTGAGGTGTTAAGTGGCCGAGCAGGAAGAGGGTGAGCACCGGTGCTTGGCAGGAAGGCAGGGAGGGCTGTTGCCCCAGGACACAGGTTAAGCAAAGTCCAGGTAAAGGCACCCGCTCTGCTCGCAGCCTCTCAGTGCCCAGCGTGTTCCCCTTGTGCAATTTTTCTGTGCTACACTACACACGAAGGAACTAAATGGAGCTGCCACTTCCCCCTTGGTGACCCTGCTGTTGGTGGAACGAGTAATGGGGGGCAGGAGGGGGAGTGACTTCAACTTGCATTTGTATTTTGGTCCCCAACTGTGTATATACAATTTTCTATGTTCCTTTTTTTTGTGGTAACTAAGATGAATATTTTAATTAGATAAGTTATATGAAAAGAGGAAATCATGTCTCAATAAAAGCCAAACACTGGACGCTGTTTGCTTGTTCTTTTTCAGTCTCTGGTAATAGCTGCACTGATATGAAAATAACAGGCACAGAGTCGCAGCTTAACGATGCCTGACACCCTGGAACTGTTGGTGACTACAGTTATACATAGGTTTGGGACAAACAGAGGGCTTGAAACAAGGCTTGTCACCTTCAATGTTCCCCCTTCCCCACAGGGGCCAAAACAGCTCCCTTATTGCTTTGGGGCCCTTGAGGGCCGGGGCCACTTCTGGGGCTACTTGGGCCAGAGCAAAGGAGCTTCAGCCTCTGCTTGAGCCCTGACTCTGCCTGGCAGTGTTTGTGCCAGGCCTCGCGGCAGTGCAAAATTCCCTCCACAGCTTCTGCCGGAGCTGCATATTAGGCTAAAATGAAATGTTCCTGATTCCCCCTTCTGGCTTGAAGAGCCTCAACTTGAAATTAAAACAGGTCTTCCACCCAGCCTCTCTATTAGCCCTGCTTTGAAAAACAGCTTTGTTGTTCTGCCCTCGTGCTGCCATCCCTTGCACAGGGGCTGAGTTTCACAACCAGGCCTGCAGTTTGACTCATGCAGTCAGAAGCGGCTTCTTCCTCCAGCACTGTGGAGTAAGGGCAGCTTCAGCGCACCCAAACAGCTTCAGTTCAGCTGGCGGTAGAGTCGGGGAGAGCAACGGAAGAGGGAAACGCGACCAGCGAAGCTCAGTCCAGGGCGCGAGCACCCGCCACACGCAGCGCCGCGCACCCCCGCCCACGCGCG